AAAAAAAAAAAAAATTATTATAGTAAAAGACACATTGCCATTAATCCGCCTCACAATACTCCCCCTCACTTCAAACACACTTATCCCATCGTTCTTGCCACTTTCTGAAGTAGCTCTAGAAGTCGTCTTTTGTGAGTGTCTTTACTTTATCCTCCATCATGGCAGTGCTCTGTGTCACACATCACTTCAGGTACACAGCAATTTCTGTCAAATAAAAACTACAGTGTGTCCTCATCCACCTTATTCACCAGATCTGTCACTGTGTGATTTCTGGCTCTTCCCCCAAGTCAAAATGACCATGAAAGGAAAACACTTTGAATCAATTCAGGACATCAAGGCAGCTATGACAGCGCAACTAAAGACACTCACAAAAGAGGACTTCCAGAACTGCTTCAGAAAGCGGCAAGAACAATGTGATAAGTGTGTTTGAAGTGATGGGGAGTATTTTGAGGGGGGTTAATAGCATTGTGTCTTTTTCTGTAATAATTTTTTTAAATTTAAACATTCACCGTATTTTTTTGGTCACGCCTCATATATACATATATAGATATAGATATAGATATAGATAGATACATACATAGATAGATACACACACACACACACAAAGGGTGCCAAAAAGGTATACACATTTTAAGAAAGGGAAAAACTACTAAAATTGTAATAATATATACTGATAACAAAAGATGACTACAAGTCATGTTTGACTTCTGCAATTACAAGAGGTGCTCAAAGTGGATACTATTAGCATCCAGACACCTCTGATTATGGCAAACTACTGCTTGAGCAACACTGACCAAAGTGTCCACTTGTATACATTTTTTTGGCACCCCCAATACATATAGAGGCACACAGTTATACATAGTCAATAGTGTATATGTGTATATGTATGTATATAATACCAGATTTATTAGAGTTATTGTGCACTGTCACCTTGAAAACCATTTTTCGGAAATCAGATTATGCTTGGTAGAACTCCAGCCTTCACTGAGACCTACCCTGGATATCACAGCCTGGAAAGCAGACCTCGGATCTGCTGCCATGGAGACAGCAGGTACCAGAGAGACCGGAAATTAAACTGAGCATCTCAAGTTACTAAAAGGAGGCATAAAGTCAGCTGGGTTTTACTATATCATAGTAACACAGTATCTAGGACTGAAAATGACCACATATCCCAAACTCTTCCCACAGGAGTGGCTCAAGTGTTAAACAGACTTGACGGAAAACCTTTCAATGATGCAGATCAACGACTTTTTGAGGTAAGGTAATAAACATGTGAAGCAAGGGTTATAGCTGCGCATGGTTGTAGTTTGCCCAAATTTGTAAGGATAAATAGATATTAGTTCATTATTATTATACTTAAACAGTATGACAGCATTTAAAGGAAGATTTAAAGAATATATTGATGCTTAAGTAAGATTTGATTCTCTTTTTCACTAATTAGATTATTTTGTGACAATTGATTATTTTTATCCTAATTTTATTACCAAACTGAATAGCCCACTCTTCTCTCCAAAGTATTAATTTTCTTATCCTTGTCTTGTTTGGGTGTGTTCAGAGTTGTGAGACCTCAAGCCCGGCTCTGCCAGGTGTGTTGTCATCAGCTTTCTTATGTTTACAAGCTTCCTTTTACTCTAGTCTAGTTCTAAATCAGTGCCCCCACCCCCCCCTAAACATTTAGCTTATGGGCACACTCACTTGGCTACTTTATCAAAATATTTTATAGGCTAGCTACTGAAAGAGGTTGCTTTTGGTTAAATGGAATGGGATTACTAAAATCAGTCCACAACCTAAATAAATTAAGAACACACTTAAACAGACTGTAAGCATGTTTTTAAATGTGTGAAGTCATTTCTTCACCATGACATTAAATTAGTAATTTTTTTCTGATGTGATG